TTGGCGGGGTCTTTAGCAGCCCCTTAGCAGCCCGACTCACAAGTGTGTGCTTGCTTTGACCGCAGGAGTGCTGGATGAGGCCGGTGTGAGTTGCAGCATGGCACGGAACGCCCCTCGCTTTGAACTAGACTTTGGTGTAATATATTGGAATTAAAAAAAAAGAACTAGACTTTGGCACAGACCCAGACGAGTGGGGCCCAATGGAGTGGGCCCAATGGAGCCAGGCTCGCCATTTTGGCAGCGGTGGCATATCCACGGGGACGGTGGGAGGTCCACATCATGGGCCGTTTGGTGGGAATGGATGGTGATTCTTTCGTCGCCATCCAAGCCATGGTGTGGCTTAATGAGGCAAAAGGGGGCCAAGCATGCCACACATCTTGTTGCATTGTATGCCATGCTCTTGACCAAAAAATGGGTGGTGGGATGGGTGCGCCCGCGGGATTGGAGGCTGCGCACCCCAGGGATGGGTGGGGTGGGGGTGCACCCCACAGAGGGGATGCACCACGCTTCCGACACATTGGGGAGGTTGCAAGGGAGGAAAGCCCCTTGGGGGCTATTGGCATGCCTTCCTCTCCAAGGTGGAGGAATGGGAGGCGCTGCTCTTTGTTGTGTCAGGAATTGGAACTGGGCATGCACTCCATGTCATGGTGGAGGGCCATAGGGCCAAGTGGCGTGGCACCTGTAGGGGTGGCTGTGTTGCTACAGAGCCCACAAGAAGTTGGTTCCCTCCCGGTCTGACTGGACCCATTACACTAGAATTTGAAACCTACAGAGCCCAATGAGGTGACCCTGCATAAGGCAAAACTAGAGCAAGCACTTAGGGAAGGTGCTTGCCTTGTGATTATGCTTAGGGAAGCTTCCAAGAGTGGGAAAACCAAGGTAGGGGGGTCAAGAAAGATAGGGAAGATGTAGACATAATGCTTTGTAATAGTCACCAAGGGGACCTTAATATTAAGAGGGAGATTGTACAAAAGTTTAATCACCCAGTATATGTGATAGTATAGGTGTCTTGGGCAGTTAAAAGGATAGAAGATATAAGGCCAAAGGGGAACAAAGGTATCCACCTCAAGAGGCAAAAGAAAAAGACACAAAAAATAGCTATGTGCACCTGTGGGAAGGTTTAAAAGGCAGCCTTTGCTTGCCTCCCTTGAAACTCAACACTATGAAAGGTACTTGACAAGATTTTTTGTAAGAATCCAAGCCTTTGCAAAGTATATTAGATATCAAGAACTCAACAACAATGCATTTTATATGCACTTGTTACTTGGGATGACTTAAAGTGCCAAATAGTGCTCCAAGAAACACATTACCACAAAGTCATTGCCACAATGGTGGCCAGAGTACATCAGAGAATTCCAATAGGAAAAAGCAACAAATAGAGAATAGAAAAGGGTGGCAGATGTTGAAGAAAAGTTGGAAAAGATAATGATTTAAAGAAGCTTCCAAGGTGCCCCTTCCAGCCTACCTTGGGATCTTTGATGGAAATGACAAGATGAACATAGGTGATTAACAAGCAAGCATTAGATACTAGTAAGAGAAGAAAAAACGTTGACTGACAAGACTTTACATATGATTTACATGTGTTTTGCATTATTATAAAGTGATTGTGATGTGGCTACTTGGGGCTAGGCTAAATTGGCATTTTTTAAAAAAGAAATTAGTAACATTTATAAATCAACCTTTTGACGGCATATTTAAGAGCTTTAAATACTCTTAGACTTTTGAAATCCCCAAATCCGTTAAGAAATGAGGAAGCTATGACCTTGTGAAATTGTGATACTTAGGGCTTTAGACGGATGGGGGCTAGTACTTAAGCCAAGGAAGAAATGGGTCAGTTTTGGGTGAACAAGGGACAATGACATGGTACCTAAATGTGCACTCGAGTTGTCATGTCATGATGTGACAGTGATGGACCCGCAACAAGGCATTGCGCATGTGATAAGTGCGCGCGCATGCAATAAATCATGTAACCGCATTTATAGCCCACTGCCTAGTCTCCCATGAGCCAGTGAACCACCATCGATATGCTGCCACCTCTCGCCAATAGCAGGCCCCGGGGAACGATCCCTGTCGTGACTTGACCCCACCGCATGACCACCGAAGCGTTTGCCCTGGATACGCCCACCGTCCAGGTGGAGAGGCCAACTGAATCTCCGATGGTTGTGCTACAGGGGAAGGCAACCCCAACGCCTCCAAAAACTAGTGGCCACTGACGAGACCACAACAGTGACCATTTGGCAAGGGAATCTCTGGTGTGTGACCATTGTGTGGCACAACAAGGCCCGCAATGTGGCATTCTGACCGGTCAGTGGTTGCGGGTCTTTGACATGGAATATTCTAGCGATTTGATAGGTATATTTAGGTTCCCTAACCTCCCCATCCGTGCATTTGAGTTGGCAGCGTGGGGGAAGACGTGCTCTTGATGCTTGTTTGTGTTTGGGAGTCAAGACAGCTGTTGCAGCTTTGGACGTCCAAGTGTAAGGCAATTGGGCCATTTTTGGCGAGGCTTTCTAGTCTCCTTGGGTGCCCAAAAGTTGTGCCCGCTCTCCAAATGTGTGTGCAACCTGTGTTATAGTGGGTGCTACAAGGGGCAAGCCTTCGGCACCCTTCATTTTGCGTGCTTGTTGTTTACATCGATGGGGTCTTGCTTCAACTCCCAAATAGTAGTGTTGTTTACATTTCCACACGTAGAACGTCTTTGGGCAGGCCTATGATGAGCGATGCCTTGTTTTGCAACCCTGCTGGCCAAGCGAGCATGTGTGTTTGGAGTCGCAAAGGCATCAAAGGTGGGGCAGGGTGTCGTGCGATGCGCACCCGTTTTTTTGAACTGGTTGCATTAGTGTTGACTGTACTGTAGCTCGACAGGCCTAGTTGGATGTGAAACCGCACATTTGAACGTGCTGTAAACGTGCACAAGATGCTGAGGAAGTGTGCGCAAAGCTGAAAACTTGCATATAGGCTCGCTGACACACCAAAGAGGTGCGTTGTGTGGAGTTCTATTGCATTGTTTTACTCGTTGTGTTGTGCAAGTGTTGACAGGTCTGAGCATACAGCTGTGAGGTTGTCGGCCGTCGGCTCACAACGTTCGACGTCTTGTGAGAGCAGCGCAGGAGTCCCACAGCACTGAGGAAATGCTCAAAGGTGCTTCGTCATGAACTTGTTGCGGCCCTAAAGGGCACTACTAGTTTCTGGAGCGTGCGGGGTTGCCACGCCCTGCAGCTTGGCTGGTGATGGCACACCCGGCCCTCTCCACTATAAATGGTGGGAGGTATCGGGGCGCTCGTTCCCTTGGATGCGCGGTGGGCCCAGATGCAAAGGGGATTGCTCCTTAGGGCCTGTTGTATGCTGCGGGTGGTGGCGCAGCTAGGCGGTGGTTCACTGGTCACGGAGAGATCAGGCAATTGGCCAATAATCGATTACACGGTGACTTGCATGCGCCTGCTTTAGGACCCGCATGCGCGCGAGGCTTGATCGCAGGTCCCTCACGGTCACATCAAGACAAAATAATATACAACAATATGTAATATATTGTAATGTATTATGTGCACGTGTCCCCGCCCACCATTCATTTAAATCAACTGTGGTAATGTGGTAGCAACCCGTTGGTTTCTTGTTCTGCCGAGCGGAGCTCGGCCCGTTGCCAAAGTCATGGAGGCCGTATGCGGAAGCAAAGCATAGCGAGGCCTTTAGCCAGAAAACGGGTTTGGCCAAAATGGAGACACATAATGAAAATGATGACTTTAATGATTTTGGCCGCCACATGTAAGAGCGCCAGGCAGCGGCGCCGATTGTAGTTCGATCGTTCTGGAAAACATTGCCTCCCTGCCTCCTCGAGCGCAGCCGCCGTGCACCTCGGATGGGACCGCACAGAGCGGCCGTCACCCACGGGCCAGAGAGAGCCCGGGACACGCTGTCTGGCCGAGGACGACCACGATTCCACTGGAGAGGCCTTAGAGCGCAGGCCAGGGTACCTAGACACGGCCAAGGGGGGACCGCGCTGACATTAACCCTGTATAATCCACGATGCTTTGACTACTGGTCCAAATCCCATGCTCAAGTACCAGAACTTCAAATGAAATAACTTTGCCGTTTCTCTACGGAATTGGACGTTTCAAAAGCCTATCAACATCAAGAGCTTCTAAATAAGCCGGTTTTAGCGTATTGATATTTTTTTGACCAAAACTAGCTTCAGAAATTCCATTTTTAGCCTACCCCCAAGTAAAATCACCACATCAAGAAAGCGGTGAAAAATATATTATAGATAGTGCTACAAAAGCATTACTGTGTTTGTGCATTCGCCCCCGTTTTACCATATTCTGAGTGAGATACTGGATTTGTAAGTATCGAAACACCATTTAAAAGGACCAAGCGAGGCCACCAGGTCATTTTCGATTATTGTGGGTCTTCGTGATCACGTCCTTGTAAATCAACTAGTTTCATTCTATATTAATATTATCTAAAGATCAGTAATATATGTACAATCATTTAGCTAGGAAATGGTAACCGATGCATCGCACAAGTGGTCAAACCCACGGTTGGATTGCTCCGACAATCTATCCTGCGTGTTGTGGCTGATCTCAATGAACGTTTGGAGTGAATTCAGCAGGGATTTTAGCAACACAAAGTTCGGAAACGGTATCTCCTATTTGAGAATTCCTAAAAAAGTTTCCTATCATTGACATGAATGCACTTATAACACATCATCACAGCTGAAGACAAAAAAACGTTGTGAACCGTGGGATGGAATTCCCCATTGAACGACGCCACTGCGGCAACATACGCATACTTGCCATTGCACGGTGGCAATGGATCTGCAGCATAACCTCGCTTTCGAAAGATCGCCTACGTCAACGATACCCATGGCAGCGCTTTGTGCGCACAATAGTTCCGTGCGTCGAAAGGAGCAGTAGACAAAGGGCTACAAAAGACATGACGGTGCTAAAGACAGATCCGGAGGCACCTGCACCCGATCGCTCAGACCATCAGCGCAGGCTCAAAGCTCAGACCACCGGGTGGTCGCCTTGAGGCCGGAACAACTTGCTGTGCCCAATTCCCTCGGTGCCATATGTAAACCAAATGCCTTCCATGCCGCCAGCCGACGGCTTGAGCTTGAGAGCCCCAGAAATTGCCATTGACGATGGGCTGCATGTGCTGCAGAAGTAGCTGCCGCACCACTCGCCCGTATCACCCGAATAGAAGCCAGTGAGGACGCCAAGTTCGGGTCCACCATCCTTCGAAAAGCTCCCCGTGTACACGTTGTCAAGCGGATTGGCAAAAGTGACGTTCATGGCGTTGTCTGGGGGTCCACTGGGGTCGCTTCCTGGCAGATGCGTTCACTGTGAGGTGCCAGTGCTGTCCATTGGGAAGCTTGCAGTCCTATGCATGAATCTGGATTCTCTTTCACGAGTAGGGTAGGCTGCTTTAGGCGAAACTGCCCTCTCACGACATCTCCCACAACATCTCCCATGACATCAGAACACATCTGTCTTTCCAATTGTGGAATTTTTGTAGAATCGTAACAAGGAAGCAATTGACGGAGAGAGCAGTAAACATTTACTTGGTTGTTCAACCAAGTAACATGGCGGTGCGCGTTACGCACCTGGATAGTAATCGTACACTATCCAAGCACCTTCCATTCCTTCCAAATGCTCCCGGAGCTGCCCGTGGGCGCAGGCTATGCACTGGGTGAAAATCAACACCAGAAGGAAGCCTGCACAGCAGTTCCAGCCATCAAACCCATGGTTTTCTTTGAGCCGGCAGAATTCTCACGCACCTGAGCGAAAGGCGAAATGCACAGAAACTCGGTGCGCTTAAAGCGAAATCGAATGATCAGGTATGCAGATGAAGTTACCAAACTGGAATTGTTTTTGCTGGGGACATCTTTAAATACTGGGAAGCGTTTTAGCGATACGTCTTGAATGTTTATGCGGGCGAGTCGTTGATGCAATGGCGACCTGGTGCCGTTGCACCAGATCAGCGCGACCATTGGTGCTGCTCCAATGCGCAGCAACGTTCCTGCACCTTTACGGCCTCTCAATCTTTCAGAAGCCCTCTGCATGTTGCCGTAAATTGTTTGCTTAACGACAGGGACTATCAATGCAATATCTGCGTCAGTCATGCATATGAGCTGGACAGGTGCGGTTGCCACGAGCTGACGCAGCATTGACCCCAAGCACGTTGCAGTGGCGCGAAAGGGAGACCCCGCTGCGCGCACTGGGCGAGGAGGAACCGACTCTGAGGCCGCCGCTTTAAGAGGTGACTATGTGCAATTACATCTTGCAGCTCAATGTGGTACATGTAATATATGCAAAACACACGAGAGGCCCAACCTCCTGCGAAGTCGCAGCCCTGTGATCCGGGGCATTGTTGGGGGAGCTGGGAGCCCTGCCAATGCCGCCGCCGGCCCCAACGAAACCCCAAGCCCCCTTGCGATGAATCTCGCCGGAGCTTCCAGGCCTGCCTTTGACGTGCAGGAGATCGGGCCTTTGGTCATGCAACAGCAGTACTGCAACATTTATGACTTTAACTGACTGACCGACTGATATGATTTATTTTTTGATTTACTTTTTAATTTGACTTTTGATTGATTGACGGATTGATTGATTCAATGATTGGAATATTCGGCCGTGTGCACGGGGCCCCATAACCGTCTGAAGCGTGCCGACCACCTCTCATAGACCTCCCGCTGGCCTCCTGTGGTAGCCGTGCCCTCGTGGTGCCGTTTTCCCCATGTGCGGTTTAATGTCCCTCTGGCAAAAATATGTCCCCCAACATAAACTGCGCAAAACCCCCGGAGAGGTTCCCAGGAGTAAATATGTTTCCCACAATATGTCCGACACATAATGCGGCGTATGGTCACGTGAACGCTTGCGATTCTTGCGAAAACACTCGCTCATCGATCATCAGCGCTCTGCAAAACACCCCGCGCGTCGCCCCGCCAGGGTTTCTGAATTCCTTTGCTTAAAACCGCCTTCGACTTCCTCATGGGGAAGCGGCGACGCCAAAGGCTCTGGCAGGGGAACCTGCCGCCAGCGCAACCGGCCACGGTGAAGCGTGGCCCATAAGAAACTATCGTCGACTGCGACGTTGTTGTTGAAGAAGGCAACCAACCTTGCTCCAACCAGTGAAACAATCTGCACCTCGTGATTTCGTGAAGGCGACCCCGCGACAGGGCGGTGCGCGGCCTACAGACTGGGTGCGGTGCCGCGCGCCCAAAACCGGGCCATACGCGATGTTGCGCACAACGCCACTGTCGCGTTGTTGTCGAGATCGATGCATCCAAAGCCATTGATCGGCACGTTCACGGACTTCAAGCAAGCGCCGGCCAACACTGGATCCTCCGGCGGTCAAAGCCAGCGCGGATTGGGCCGCTTGCGCTAGGTCAAGGGGGGATTGCGATTGAGTGGCTTGCGAGGACATGGATGGATCTGCCGTTCGAGGTTCGGATGAACTGCTGTTTCAGTGCGGATGGTAAAAGGGATGTCTGACCGGGCATCGAACCAGGTACCTTGCTGGGGTTTTACGCTGCTCTGTCAGCCACCTGACACTGGCAAGGAGGAGGGCATCCTGCCCTCAAGTGCCAGTCAACCCAACACCTGCGTGGGCGCGCTGCAAGGTGTAGTCGGGGCGGTGGACACTCACCGAGGATGGGCGACCGCATTGGAGCCATGGCGACTGTGGGCGAAGGGATGAGGGAGAATCGGCGCCGGAGAGGCTTGGTGGCTTGGCAGTGGTCGTGGGAACGTGGGGGCAGTCACAGCTGGGACACCGGGGCAGTCTGTTTTGAGCGCAGGGATGACCTCCTGCCTGGCAGGAGTCCCATATGCACTACTACAGGACACGTAATAGCGATGTATGCCCTCCCCCGTCCGCCAAGGAAAGCTGTTAGCTTCTAACACGGTGCTCAGGACAGCGAGCCCTCCCCCGTCCGCCAGGAAAAGCTGCCAACTTCTACCGCGCTACCCAGAGCACCGCGCACTGGGGAGGTTGGCGCCGCGAGCCAATGGGCCGGCTCCGCCCGCGCGCAGACTGACCGTCACACGCGCCAAGATTCCCTGCTTTCGTGCGCCCCGCTCCTCTGCCAACGCGACTCTCGTGAGCCAAGCGGGGATCCGGGACGTGCAAGGGGGAAGAAGTGGTCGGCATCTTGGCCGGCTTATCAGGGTTGGCGAACGCTGGCACTGGTGGCGGGCGGGTGCCCCGGCCATCGAAGGGGAAGTGGCGTGGCGGGAGAGCCTGGCTGTCGCAGCCCCTGCCTTTTGTTGTGCCTCCCTCGCGGGTGAAGGGAGATCTCGCACACAAGCTGCAATGAATGCATATGCATGGCTGGGGTGGCGTGCGGTGCGTGATTGGGTCGGCAATGGGGGGCTGGTCAGGGTGGATGGGCGGGTGGGCCTAGCCGCGGGAGGGGGAGGCTTCTTTGGACAAAGGCTACGGGCCTTGTTTACAATCCCAACACGCTGGGTGGCGGCGGGGCGAACAAAATTTTGGGGTGGTCCGACTGCGGTTATGGACTTGACGTCGTCGAGGCTTGCCCCTGTGACGTTGCCCCGCGCAGAGATCACCCACACAGGTAGAAAGTGCCATGTTTGTGATGCCAGCAG